TTTTAGAGTCTTAAGATACGCATAATATTTATGTTTTCTACAAATTAATGACTATAAATTTATAATATGTTATTATATCAAATATTTGTTAATATTAAAATTTATATAATTTTTTTTTCAAATTAACTGTAATTATCTTTTATATTAGTCACAATTAGTTTAAGTTATCTTGAAACAAATCATTACTAATCTAAGTTTTGTTATTTTTGAAAACTTATAATATTTTATAATTTTTCAAAAAGTGAAAGCCTTTGTAGTGAAAAGCTAAAAAAACTAATAAATAGCAAATAAAAAGGTAGAGGATGATTTGAAATTAATGGTGGCATATTTAAATTGTAAAAAAATGTTTGAATAAATTTAATGCAAAGATAGATTCTATAATACATTAAATTTTGATATTTCTTTATGTTTAATGTTTCAGCTTTTTATTAACATAAAACTAAAGAACAAGAACAAAAAAAAAAAAAAAAATCAAGGTATAGTTTGCATTTGGCTTTGAAAGATTATGCATACAAAATACAAAATTATTTTCAAGTTATTGTGTCAGTAAATGGTGGGAGCAACGTTGTATTTTAAATGATATAAACCAAGAATCAATGACTTAATTTTAATAATTTTTAAAAGTTTAAGGTTTATTTCAACTCAAAAACGTTAATTAAAGTATTAGGACAGGTGCTTAAGCAAAACAAATTATAATTTAATTAACATGGTAAACACACAAACGATGTTAGTTAAATATTAAATGAATGTATTTAATGTAAAAGAAAATAATATTTTACATTATTACTTTGTTAATCAATGGTTCAAATATAATTATAAATAAATTAAAAGTAAAAAATATAATTATTTATTTGTGAGTAATGCAGAAAATTTTGCTTCATGTTCTAATACTTTTGAAATTATTATGTGGAACTTAAAATTCAATATTTATTCGATAAATAAAATTACATAATATTTTATATAAATTGATAAAAATATGAACCTAACAAAATAAAATTATATAATTTTTATAAAAAAAAAAATGTTTTGTATGTGTTAACACCAAATTATAATCAAATTTTTTATTTTTAATTTAATATGATAAATATTTCGGACATTTTTCTTTTTAATTTTGTTTGTTAAAAGGAAAACATTGTTTTAAATGTTTTCTGTTATACTGAACTGGGGTTATGATATCCCGGAATATACTTAAACTTGTAGCCAAAAAACAATTTTAACCGTGAACTTCAGTTAACGGTCTAGTCATGCCGTGAGAAGGTGGGCCCGAGTGCTGGGCCCACTTCACGTGATTGTAGGAAATTGGGATAGACATAAAGCTGCAGTAGATATTTTGCCGTTGTCTTGAAGAAAAGATCGAAGGAGATATTTTACACGCTGCAAGTACAATTATGTCCCTCCGGCTTCTCCCATTTACGTCCAATGCCTTTTTCGTGGGCTTACTTTTTTGTTAGGCCCATGGTCCACGACTATCTTACATACTAATCCAAACCATCTCTTATTAACAAGTCCATTAGCTTCCCCCGTGCCACTTTTTTGTTATAATTCTCTTCCCAGGGAGAAAATAAATAATTTTAATTTTATGTATAGTTGTAATATTTAAGACATAATAATTAATATTTGGTTAAATTTTTTACTGTTAAAATATGCTTAAAAGGGGGAGAAAAAAAAAATAACCCAACAAGAATATATTCAATGGCCATATCATTGCATGCTGTTACATAATAGTACCTTTAAGATTTTGTTTAATAATTATTATTATTGTAGCCTTCAATAATGGGTTCCAAAGTCAACCGGTTGACTAAATATTTGATAGTAACAGTATCGAAGCTTTTTCTTAAGGCTCCAAAACACAAGCGTTGGCCCGTTATTTTTGACTGACTTGATTTTCAAATTTTTCAATTAGGAAAAAAAAAAAATGTCGACAGATTAATACATCCTTTTAAAATTGTTAAGTAATGAAATTGGACCGTTCAAAGTCCATTGATATCTTCAATCTTTTCTCTTTTGGTTTTTAACGAATTTATTGGTTTAATTTTTGGTTTAATGTTTTTTTTTTTTTTTTGAGTGCAAGCCACCCGAATCTCACACAAGATGTTTCGAACACATCAATCAATTGTCACATTAGTTAGTTAATAAGCTTCCCCATAAAGTTGATAGATAAATTTCTACAACTTTTATAATAATTAATTTAGTAGATATACTTTCAACCCTTGTTTTAAACTTTAAATTTCTTCTAATTTTTTACTATTAAAAAATTATTATTTTTTGTCTTTTTTGTGTCATGGGAATGTGTAGTCTGTTAAATAAAATGAATAGTTTAAAGATTAATAAATTTTAATAGGTAATGTGCCTTTATTTTATATTTGAAAAATTATGTAATTTTAGGAAGTGCCTCTTTAATCAGCGAGAGTAAAATGATATATCAAAATATTATTACTTTTTTTTTTAAGATCGGATGTGAATGTTAGTACAAAAGTCACTAGGTAAATATTATTTATTATATATTTAATTAATATATATATACACACACACACACACTATATATTAAAAAAATTAAAGATGATGAGAAAATAGTATATATATTTTACTGAACTATAAATTATAAGAAAAAAGAAGTAGAGAATGAGAATGATGATATACATTTAAAAGGAGAAGCGTGAAAAGGACTTCCAAACCAACCAATACGTGAAGATGACAGCATGTTTGGAATTATTTTTAAATATGTTTTTCTTAATGACAAATATTTAAATATGTTACATATATCTATATGTATATATATATATATATATTCTGAATTTGAATTTTAGAATTGTCAAGAAAATGGGATGGGATAATTACAAATCTGACTAAAGATTAAGATATTTTAAAAATTAAGAAAATGATGACCAAGTCCAATAAATGAGAAGACAGGTGGAAGACGTAAGCTGCTGGAAATGGTGGTTGACTGACTTTTTTTTTATTGTTCATTTTGTTTCTGCTATTTGTTGTGTGAACCCAAATTACAAGAAAATTCCAATACGGAAGAAGTCAGTGCCACCGTAAAATCAATTTCTATTTTATAGTTAACAAAATTAAATGGCAGCAGAAATTAAACAAAATTCACCAACTTTACTTTAAATAATTCATGCACAATTTACCATCTCTATTGCTCATTTTAAGGCCATTATGCTAAAGTTTATGTTTTTTTTTTTAAATTTATTTATCAATTATAATGATTGTCATACAAATAAATATTTTCTATTACACGTGTGGAACCCTATAAATAACCTCTCTTTTTTTCTTTTTTTTTTTTTACACATGCCGAATAAATTATTAAAATTTACTATCCAAAATTCATTACATTTTGTCAAATTATCTATTGTAAATTTATTCACAAGGGAGTTAGATGATATTTTACCATCATTTATTTTAGTTGTAGATAATTCGTTACAAAAATATTATAGAATTACATTAAAATTTTAATATTTTCTATTTAAAAACTAC